TCACGAAGACTATCGAACTAGACCTCATGGTGGTGAAGGCTAGCGTCATGTCCTCATTGGACTTCCGGACGCCCTCAAAATTGGTGCGGAGGCCTTGGAACTTTTGTTGTAGTTCATTGAATCGCTGCTCATAGTTAAAAGAGATGTCGGCCTCCGGCATTTGAAAGTTGAACCCCTCTTCATGTTGATACTCTTTGTTGTTGGTGGTGTTGTTGTTGCTGGTCTTGGGGCTGCTCCTCCCCTTGATCTTGATCATCATCATCTCCTTCATAAACAATCTCACCCTCGGGAAGCCAAGCGAAATCAGGTATAAAAATCCAATTATTAAGCTCATAGATGACAGTGTTCTCAGGATTGGGAAGATAGGCATAAGACTTTTCCATGACGAGCCATAAATAACAGTTTTCCCAATCGGTCTCCTTCAACCAATGCATGGCTTTTAGAGATTGGATATCTAGCCTTGTTGGCCCCGGAAGGATCTCCTCACCTGTAAAATCAAGATCAAAGAAAACAGCAATAATAGAAATCATACCTCCAATGGTAATCACCCCACCCCCCTGTGGCAACATCCTCTAGGTGGTCAACCAACCAGGCCCCTAAGTCAAGTCTCCCATCCCCCTCACTTAGATGCCAAAGAAAAAGTAGCTCCCAGCTAGAAACTACTCCCGAGCTATCCCCCCTAGCAAATATAGTGTTGGCTATTAGCCTTTGTGCAAGTCGGAATGCGGGGTGGACAATGGATGTGGCTTTGTCCGACCTAGCGTTCCTAACGGGAAGACCGGTTATCTTTTGCCAAAAGTCACCGGCGAAGTAGTGCTTAGAGGCCTTTCCTTTGGTCCAAATTTTCCATCAGTAGGCCACATAAAGGCTCGGTTGACTTGGTCTATGGTCATCTTGTGGGATTAGTTCATAAGTTGAAAGGTCATATACCTAGGGTTGTTGTTTGTGTCACGGTGGAGATAGAGAGAGGAAAGGAATTCAAGGGTTAATCGCTTATAGGTATGAGCATGCAATTCTAGCCAACTAGAGACTCCCGTATGGAGAAAGAGTTGCCTAACATCGTTTTCAACACCTAAAGCAATGGCAACCTCATGATTATAATAAACTTTGTGGGCCTAATCTTCCTCTTGCTAATCCAGCCATGAAATCCGAGTTATTGAAACTATCCCTAAGGTCTCCACCGGTGGTGGAGCAACAGATGGGGTAGGTTGGGTTCTAGGTCGCTTTGAGGCATTCTTTCTTCTTAACATTGTTAGAAATCAAGCAATAAGACTCAAACACACCAAGAATCAACAAGGACAAACACTAAAAATACCAAAATCTCAAAACCAAAATCACAAAATCTTAGTCCAAAACAACTATTATCAACAATGTACCAACCAATTCAACAATCTATAACAGGGTTAGCAAATAGAAGAAATTCAAAATAAGAAAAAAAACACTAAGGGTTGGAGTAAATATATCGACAATGTTATCGGTGAAAACTCGCAAATGAACTCCTCTAGTGCTCCTTTATGCTTGCTAGACTCCCTTGCTAAACCAATTCTTCAAAAGATTGAAACTTAAAAAACCCCCAAATTCAAAATTTGAAGTTAGGATTTTGAAAATTTTGCTTGAATTTTTGGATTTTTGGAAGAAAGAGGAAGTAATTTGTTGAAAGTTGAGGAAGATGATGATAGAATATGATTTTAGTGCGGGATTTATGGGTTTTGAGGTGTTTGGAGGGGAGTTTGGAGGTGGAATTCGAAAAGAGGGAAGAGGAGTTCGAATGGGAGGAAATTGGCATTATAATTGTTCACAATGTCCATAGAGCTTAGTACATTCTGTTAGAATTTTGTGATCTTGGTGCTTGAATATTGACCTTTTCTTGTGCTACTTAATCGGTATGATCCTAACCGCTTGAAGTAGACAAGAAGCTTCCTTAGGTGTGAAAATACTTTGTGATGTAATTTTAAAACTGAGAAAGCAAGACATGGTTACTAGAAGTAAATGACTGTGTTTCTTCTATGTTTTTTGGTTGTGTTGTAGCTTCCTCTCCTTGATTAAGCGAAAAAAGAGGAACTATTACATGCATGTGCAAAGTTGTTGAGAATATAAGTATATAAGCTACTTACTGCTGCTAAAAACTGGACTTGCAGAACACTTGAGTCAAAGCTTGTGCTCAGACAAATCTTGTTTGAATCTTATAAGATTTTAGTGTGAAGACTCTTTCTCATATCTTGGAGGTGATACCTTGCGATTTTATAAAGAATTTTAGTGGGAAGATTGACAAGAATGTTAACTTGAGAAACCTACGAGGAAAAACTTGGAAAATGGAGTTGGAACAGGCTGGATACCTACGTATATATCTTGGTATCGTAGGTATTCTGATTCTAAAATTTGTCTTACCTGAACCATAGCAAGGCTATTAGGAAGGCAAAGCTTTGTATATGGGCCATGGGAAAGGGTTTACTGGGGATTAGCTACCGGATGTTTGAGAAACATGCCGGAGAGGAAGGGCGCAAATGAGATAATCAAGAAAGCCCTTCTTGAGCAGTCTGGTATATTAGTTCTTAATGAAGGCCACACACCTAGAAATGACGATAGCTACGTTTGGAAGGTCTTCTCTGAAGTGAAAACAAAGAAAAGAATCATACTTTTCGGGACCCCTTTTCAGAACAACTTTGCGGAGCTAAACAACACACTTTCTCATATAAGAGAAGTGTTTGGGGATCCTTTTTTGCGCGGGAATCATTTGCAGAGTGGAAGGAAAAATAAGGCAAACAAAAGGGGGTTTTATACTGATACTAGCAAGGTGAATGAAGATAGAAGAATTGAAGACTTAAGGAACCGTCTAAAGCCCTTTGTACATGTTCACAAAGGGGAGATCTTGAAAAAGATAATTCGCGGGCTGTTTCATTCAGTGCTTCTACTAAAGCCCTCTGAGTTGCAGAAGACTTATATCTGGAAATTGGATGTGTTCAAGAGCGGCTTATTGTTAGAATACTTGGTTTCTATTGTCTCCGTACACCCTTCTCTTTTGTACAAATGTGAGCAAGTTTCTGCTTTCATTGACAAGGAAATGTTGGAAAAGCACGAAGCAGACTTGGATGTTGGGGTAAAGATCAAATTTCTTTTTGAGCTCATCAAGCTCAGCAAAGGGGAGAAAGTTTTGTGTTTAGCCAATATCTGAACCCTTTAACCTTAATTAGAGATCTGCTGAAACTGCACTTCAATTGGACCGAGGGAAATGAATTTTTGTTTATGGAAGGGAAACAACGCCCAAAGATAAGGCAATCGTTGATTGCGCAATTCAATGATCCCGGAAGTGCAGCAACGGTTCTTCTAGCCTCTACCAAAGCATGTTGTGAAGGGATTCACCTTGTTGGTGCCTCAAGGGTGGTCTTGCTCGACGTTATTTGGAACTCTTCTATTGAAAGGCAAGCCATAAGCAGGGCTTACAGGCTAGGTCAGAAGAAGGATGTCTATGTTTATCACCTCATCACCTCACACTGGAACGAGACAAGTATGAGAGGCAAGTGGCAAAAGAACGTGTGTCTGAGAAAGTTTTTATTTCTTCTGAGGCTGAAGGAGTGCATAATACATGTACATTGTCGATGATTTCAGAGGATCAGATCCTAGAAGATCGGATCCTAGAAGAGATGGTCGAACACGAGAAACTGAAGTGCATGTTTGAGAAGATCATCTACCAGCACTTCTAGGATCCGATCTTCTAGGATCCGATCCTCTGAAATCATCGACAATGTACCTGTATTATGCACTCCTTCAACCTCAGAAGAAATAAAAACTTTCTCAGACACACGTTCTTTTGACACTTGCCTCTCACACTTGTCTCGTTGCAGTGTGAAGTGATGAGGTGATAAACATAGACATCCTTCTTCTGACCTAACCTGTAAGCCCTGCTTATGGCTTGCCTTTCAACAGAAGGGTTCCAAACAACGTCGAGCAAGACCACCCTTGAGGCACCAACAAGGTGAATCCCTTCACAACATGCTTTGGTAGAGGCTAGAAGAACCGTTGCTGCACTTCCGGGATCATTGAATTGCGCAATCAACGATTGCCTTATCTTTGGGTGTTGCTTCCCTTCCATAAACAAAAATTCATTTTCCTCGGTCCAATTGAAGTGCAGTTTCAGCAGATCTCTAATTAAGGTTAAAGGGTTCAGATATTGGCTAAACACCAGAACTTTCTCCCCTTTGCTGAGCTTGATGAGCTTAAAGAGAAACTTGATCTTTACCCCAACATCCAAGTCTGCTTCGTGCTTTTCCAACATTTCCTTGTCAACAAAAGCAGGAACTTGCTCACATTTATACAAAAGAGAAGGGTGTACCAAGACAATAGAAACCAAGTATTCTAACAATAAGCCGCTCTTGAACACATCCAATTTCCGGATATAAGTCTTCTGCAACTCAGAGGGCTTTAGTAGAAGCACAGAATGAAACAGCCCGCGAAGAATCTTTCTCAAGATCTCCCCTTTGTGAACATGTACAAAGGGCTTCAGACGGTTCCTTAAGTCCTTAATTCTTCTATCTTCATTCACCTTGCTAGTATTAGTATAAATCCCCTTTTGTTTGCCTTATTTTTCCTTCCACTTTGCAAATGATTCCCGCGCAAAAAAGGATCCCCAAACTCTTCTCTTATAAGAGAAAGTGTGTTGTTTAACTCCGCAAAGTTGTTCTGAAAAGGGGTCCCGAAAAGTATGATTATTTTCTTTGTTTTCACTTCAGAGAAGACCTTCCAAATGTGGCTATCCTCATCTCTAGGTGTGTGGCCTTCATCAAGAACTAATATACCAGACTGCTCAAGAAGGGCTTTCTTGATTATCTCATCTACGCCCTTCCTCTCCGGCATGTTTCTCAAACATCCGGTAGCTAATCCCTAGTAAACCCTTTCCCATGGCCCATATACAGAGCTTTGCCTTCCTAATAGCCTTGCTATGGTTCAGGTAAGACAAATTTTAGGTTCAGGATACCTACAATACCAAGATATATACGTAGGTATCCAGCCTGTTCCAACTCCATTTTCCAAGTTTTTCCTCGTAGGTTTCTTAAGTTAACATTCTTGTCGATCTTCCCACTAAAATTCTTTATAAAATCGCGAGGTATCACCTCCAAGATATGAGAAAGAGTCTTCACACTAAAATCTTATAGGATTCAAACAAGATTTTTCTGAGCACAAGCTTTGATTCAAGTGTTTTGCAAGTCCAGTTTTTAGCAGCAGTAAGTAGCTTATATACTTATATTCTCAACAACTTTGCACATGCATGTCATAGTTCTTCTTTTTTCGCTTAATCAAGGAGAGGAAGCTACAACACAACCAAAAAACATAGAAGAAACACAGTCATTTACTTCTAGTAATCATGTCTTGCTTTCTCAGTTTTAAAATTACATCACAAAGTATTTTTACTCCTAAGGAAGCTTTTGTCTACTTCAAGCGGTTAGGATCAGACCGATTATTAAGTAGCACAAGAAATGGTCAATATTCAAGCACCAAGATCACAAAATTCTAACAGAACGTACTAAGCTCTATGGACATTGTGAACAATTATAATGCCAATTTTTTTCTACTCAACTTCTAACAACAAATAACACCTAGATAATGAAAAAAAGTCGATTCCTTAAAGTCTTGGTGATATAATATTTTCTTGTAAGCTGCCAAATTTCATACATAAATCCGGCCTAGATATAACAGATAGCTACACCGAAGGCAAAATTTTAGATGTCATATGTACTTTTTAGAATGTAAGTGACAAAATTTGCCTTACACAACATAAAATTTGTCTTACGTGAACCTAATTTTAGATCCATAACACAACATAATGAATATGGACAAATTTATTCTCAATTTAATCTACTCATACATGAATTCAAACCACTTATGGATGTAAAACAGCCTATACTAGAACTATTGCAAAATGTAAAAATTGAAGTAATAAAAAGAAAATTTTTTACCAATTTCTTTGAGTTGTATTCTGGCAGATAAATCTCGAAGAATCCCGGTAAATCCAGCAAATCATTTATCTTAAAGGGCCTTCCTCTTTTTCACTTCAACATTGTTTCATCCACAACTCTCGGCTCAGAACGAGGTTGCGAATCATTCACCATTGCTTCATCAGAGTAAGAAGACGTTCCTTGTTCTCGTTTCACCATTGTTTCTAGTCAATTTTGGAGTAGGATCAAGACAATCTTTAAGGAACGGGGAGTAACACTTTTAAATTTTAATCGAAACCCAAAATTCCTACTCAAACTGTATAATTAGAAATAACTTAACAACTCTAATATCACACATTATGATCAAATAAAAAAATCCCCGTCAAATAATAACACATTGCACAATTAATTAAACTTATAACTTTAAAACAGGGCATTAAACTGATTTAGTTAAATTTAACGGTTCTCAATTTTGGCAAAGAATTAAAATGCCCATTATAATATCAATTTCTAACTAAAAAATAGAAAATGCCATATTAAACAACTTCCCATGATCCCTAAAAAAAAAAAAAAAAAACTTCCCATGAATTTCAAGCAACACCTACACTAATATGATAGATTAAATAAGAAAAACAACTAATCTAAGCACAAAATCAACCCAACAACAAGTCATGGAGAATAAGAAATTGAAAACTTTAACGAGTTACCTGAATCATAAAATTGTAAGGTGCGGTCGGAAACTCGGACAGACTGAGGGTGCTGGAAACTGCAGACGTCCGAACTCCGGTGCGCAGTGGGAACGAAAGAGGGGTTGAGCAGCACTTTAAATGTCCAAGAGAGAGAAACAGAGGAAGAGAGAAATGAAAGGTAATGCAAGAAATGAAATTTATTGTAAAATTAAAGGGTATGCAAGAAATGCAGCTGAAAACAGCACACAAAAAAGTCTGAGGAAAGGAAATGGAAGAAAGAGCGCCAAAAGCTAGAAGTAGTTAATTATAGTAACAATATGACATAATCTTTGGTATATTAATTACAGTTTTTTTGTCGTTAGCCTGAGCAAAGTACATCAAATCGTACGGAGTATCAAATTATATTAAATGGACTGTTAAGATGAATAATTCTGTACATGCTTTTTTCTCACTAAGATAGGTCACATCAAATGTTTTAACCAATCTTGTTAATTCGTTACTCCTATTGTTCTAACATACTATTTCTTGTTTCAAGTCATACTTGTATTTTTACTATCATCAGGCATTGACAGAAAGTTATAAAGTTGGTAGTATTGGTTGCAATTAAAAAATAACGAAGTGAGTATTGTTTTGAGCGGATGAGGGTTAAAAAATTGGTAATATGAGTATTCGTTACAATAAAAAAATTACTCGTTAAAAAAAAACGAAGGGAGTATTTTTGATTTGATTGGAGAAATAATTCTTTGAAATAAATAAAAGTGTGAATATCATTCAACCAAAAACGCATAAATTTGTTGCAAAATCAATTACTCTGTAGTAGTTTATACTTTATACTTCTTCGGTCTTTTTTTTTTTTTTTTTTTTTTAATTTTCGATACCATTCTCTTTGCAAAATTTTCAGGCAGCATCTTCAGCCAAGGTCTTGGAAATCCTATACCAAATCAGTACGGACTGTACCAGCAAGGAGATCACATAAATCAATTACAGAGTATATATAATAGAAAACAAAGGACTAAAGACCATCACATAAAGGCCTCCAAAAGCTAATGTAGTTGCAAAAGGGAGGAAGTAACACATTAAAAACACTCTAGAAAAGATATAAACTGCCTCAGGGCAGTTAATCATCTCATGAGCAAATCCCAGAAATCTTTTAGGGAGCAGATATAGTAAGCAAGAGCACTCTAAACGCATAAAAATACTAGTTTAGCTTCTATATCCTACTCCTTCAATAATGTACCACATAATTTTCCTGGAATAAGTGTTATGTTTTACGACAGATAATAGACGTACCATAATTGATTCCTTGCACAACTCTGTGATGACTCCACCTTGTTGTTTCGTTTATTTTCTTACTTAGTCTTATATTGGATGATGGAAGTCAAAATGAATAGTCAATTTTATTTAATATACTAATATGCTTAGTTTATTTATCTTAGTTTATTTTATGGTTCTGTCAATTTATATTCGAATATATCATGCTAAGTATGCTAACCTATTCGTATATTCTGCTAAGCATGTTTATATTTTTATTATTCCTTAAGTAACTGATTTTATCTTTATGTTGTAAAGATAATTTTCTGTCAAATGTATTTATCTATCCTATTATTTATCTTATTTGGCTGACATGATAAGTTTTCTGTTTAAGATAAATATTGCTGTTACTTGTGCTTGTTGACCTGGTTTTTAGGAAGCTAAGTATGCTGTAACAGATTTCTAGCTGGAAGATAAACGTTGAATTTAAAAGCAGCTTTGAAGTTTAAATTTGAAAGCTTCGAAATTTCTGGAGTTTGTTGAAGACCCAGAGACTGCTGGCAACGTTTTAAAGTCAGCTTCAAAGCCTTATAAATAGCATGAAGATCAGCCGGTTTTATTATCCAAGTTTTTCAAGAAGTCTTGTGCTATTCTAAGAGCTTTAATTCTCTCATTGTTTACTACTTTTTATTACTTAAAAGTGAGGGAAAAATACGAGTATTCACTTGTGCTAAACTTTGTAATACTTGAGTGATACACTTTGTAGTAAAATTATAATACTCGAAGTTGTTTGAGTGTGTTAGCTTTTATTTCTAGGATTTGAGTGTCTAAGGTGTAGTGGGAAGTACTACGGAAAGAAGATAGTGAGATCTTCTAGGTTGCTTTAGAACTCTAAGGGAAGAAATAAAAGTTGGTTAAAATCCTACGGGTTGGACAACCCTAGGCGGAGACGTAGGCCTTTGTGCTGAACTTCGTAACAATTCCTTGTGTTTTTATTTTTGCTTATTCTTGTTTTCGTTCTTTGTTTTAAACTGTTTTAGCAAAATCCAAAACAAACGTTTATAACCTTCTGCTTACTAACTGGTTTACTTTAAATTGTTTTCAAAGCCTTGATTTATAGAACAGAGATCAGTTTATTCCGCCCTGCAACTGATCTCAAGGCCTTGACATTTTCAGTTTTGCAAAAAACGCCCATACTCTATTCAACCCCCCTTCTAGAGTATTAATATGTTTATTCCATTACCATTGTGATCCTTTCACTCTGGATCAGAAAACCAACTTTCGTAGACAACAACCTTTGGAGCTCGAGGCTTTCCAGTGAACAAAACTGCAGCCATTGAAGATGTCAAACTCACTCTTTTAACGGAAGAAAACTTTTTACAAGAGGTAAGAACGTTGATTGTTCCCTTGATTGCTAGCCAAATCAGCCTGCCAATGACAAAGTACTTAGAAAAATTGAGGAATAGTCGAATAGATAGCTTAAAATATTGAAAGTCACAACCACCATAACTCACACCTTCATATTCTATGAAATTGAAATAAAGAAGTACAAGAATAATGGAAGGATCAATCTTCCCCCAAAACATAAAATCGGATACAGGAATTAGATAGACAACCTTAGACATGATTATCAAGTTTTAATTTACACGTGAATGAAATATTAAAATATATAGTCAATACCGAAGGGTGGTGTAGTAAAATTGTGCAGACCACAATCCTTTGAAAAACCAAAGCAAGGACAATTACTTTAGCTATGATATTCCATAATTACTCCATAAGTGAATAAATTTGTAATATCATAAACTCTTAGGTATCAAACTTAGAATTCATAATATCTGTCACTCTTTGGTAACATTTGTGGCAGTTCAAATGTATGCAACCTCATCCTTAGTGCCATTTTCATGTAATGACGCCGATGATACACGTATAAACGCTACTAGTCCACTTGGAAAAAAAATAAGTTGCTACAATAATCACTGTACAAATTGATAACAAACCATGATAGATTGACAAGAAATGGGGTATGCACTTCCCGGACAAAAAAAAGAACTTACTATCATTACACAAGACAAATGTTGAGATTCTAAAGTCACCTCCATATGACCATCTATGAGAACCTTTCGTTAATCCATCCTCCCGGTCTCAAGTTCGAGTCTCATCCCCCACGTACACGAAATTACCTAAGTATTTTCTGAGTTGCTCATTGTTTTAAGTCTTCTAAGAGTCCTAACATTCCATCATTAACGTTAAAACTTCCTCCAATTTTTTTTTTATGATCGCAACATATCCTTTTGGCACGCATACTAATTATTAAATTAGATTAAGTAAACAGACAATAAGAAAATTCTGAAGAAACAAAAAAGAACAAAAGGAACAGGAGAAGCAGTATGAAAAACACCATGACAACCAGAGATAGCAGAATCAAAAGAACCCACTTCAATTAAATTTGCTTTAATAGGTGAAGTCTTTCTTTTGCACCTTCTAACCCCAACAAATGTTCAACCTTTGTTTGATCATCTGACGAAACAATTATATCAATGGAATTCTTAAGGAGGGCGCCCCATTACTCACTGGGAGAAACGTTTTTGTTTCTCACAGTGGCAGTTTCGTAAATAAAATGTACCACTTTAGTCACGGTGGTACATTTTATTTACGAAATGGATGATAAAATTGTACCACTTTAGTCACGGTGGTACATTTTATTTACGAAACTGTCACTGTGAAAAACAAAAACGTTTCTCACAGTGAGTAACAGAGATTTACTGATTCTTAAGATACTTCTAATTTTCTAAAATCAAATTGAATAACAAAGAATAATTGGTTAATTAATTAAAATGTTGGTCCAATTCTAACAATTTACCCCAAATGAAATGTCCAAAACAAATCATATTAAATTTACAAAATTAAAAATAAATAAATAAATAAAAAAAAAATTACTTGAGTCACGAACAGTGGCATGGACAGTGTAACCACGGAGAAGCAAGAGTTTGACAAGCCATGAAGCAATGAAGCCAGATGCTCCTGTTACACGCACGACCTGCCCGTGTCCACTCATCTATCTCTTTCTCTCTAATTGAATTCTTACAAGTGATGATATTAATTAAGATAGAAATTGAGTTTTTCTTCTCTCGCAAAAATTCTAATATGACATCGGAGTTACTTTGTCAGTGTACAGAATTACTCAGTCAATATTACAATAATTCTTTTTGTTGTTTTACAACTGGCCACATGGTTTGGCCAGCTACATACAAAATACGTTGTTTCTCTCAGATATTAATACAGGGGAAAGATACGGATTTAAAGATGGATAGAGGGTATATATAATTAATATAGGGACTTGTGTGATGAGATAAATTTTTTTTTTAAAAAATCATGTGCAAATATTGTAGTGTTGAAATCTTTGTAAAACTTTTGTATAAACTCTAATACGTAGGGAAAACTTTAAGCGCTAATAATAGTAATAAACATTACGTATGAAGTATAGAATATTTTATATTGCTCTGTACACGAGTATGATTATTTTACTTCATTTGTATAAACATAATTGTCACAATTACTTATACTAGGTAGGTGAAATATAACACTAACTAGATATTTCCCGAGTCATGCTCGGGTTTTAAAAATTGGTATTTAAAATTCAAATGTAGAATTATCTAGAAAAATGTAGCTCAAAAGTTAATTATAATAATTAATTATCAAATAATAGAGTTCCTAGACAAATTAATAATACAAAAATAATATATATAAAGTAGAGATTAGGAGGGAAAATTCCCCCCCAAAAAAAAAAAACTCTATTTTAGTATAGGCATATATATAGATATATAGATTGGGAATGCGGATGTTATAAAGAGAAAGTATTATCAAATAAAAAAATGCCAAATAATTTTACTCAATGATAAAAATAGTATTAGAGACTATACACACTTATCCAGAGGAAAAATAGTCAAAGAATTAAAAACAGCTTTAACCTAAAAAAAAAAATTATGATGCTATTATTTTTATTTAAGCGGCAACATTTTTCATGAGAGAGTGACATATATACATTTGAGGTTAGCAATGATGTCAGTAATTGTTGTTTTAGTACAAAGAATTATTTACAGATTAATACGGAGAAGCTTTAATGTATATATATATATATATATATATATATATATATATATATATATACGGGAGGGTTCCGCTAAAAACAGGACTTATGGTGAAAACTAAAAACAGCAAATCTCAGCCATTGATTATTAATGATATAATCTAACGGTTGAAATACAAGGTACACAAAATCTTAGCAAATTTCAGCAAATCCTCTGTTAATTTTGCTGAAAAACGCAAAATCTCAGCAAATTTCAGCAAATCCTCTTTTCATCTCATTATCAAATCGTCAATTCCTCAATTCGTCAAATTTTAGGGCTACTTTGATTATTTACTCCCAAAATTGAGGGCTCGTGATTCTTCAATAATTTGGGGCTTCCTCAATAATCTTAGTAAGTGTTCTTCATTCTTTAATTTCTGTTTTTAGCTGAATTTCTAGTTGATTGCGGCTTACAATACCGATATAACTGTGATTATTTCCTTGTATATAAGCTGAATTTCTTGAATTTCTATTTGATTGCTCTGTTTTTTAGTTTCAATCTCATCAACTTGTAGTTTCAATCCTCATCAACAATATGCTCTTTTTTCGTTTTTGTATAAATATTTGCAATATATATATATTTTTTTTTATATTAAAGTTTTTTTTTCCTGGATATATGATATTAAACACTAGGAGAAATTGTTGCACATAAGGTGTTTGTGTATTTGCTTAAATGACTAACACCTTGCTTAATACGATATAGTAACTCTTTTTTATGATACCATAACCATATATTTTAGACTGTTTTTGTTGGTGTCCAGTTAGTTGCACCATGGAATGGATTATTTTATTATAGTACCCATTTTAAACCATATATTTGATATTATATGCAGACAATGCAAGAGGAGTCAGAAGAAGGTAGTTGCTCAAATACATCTACAACTACCAATGTTGCTGAAAACTTACCGTCACTAAAGGGCCCAAGTGTGTGTTA